TACAAATTCGAAGAAATTTCTACCCAAGCTCTCAAATTTAACAAAATATTACATTTTGATTGTTTGTAAGAAAACTCAGATTTCGTAATATGATATCCATATGATAAGATCCTCCTCTGTGCACAGAGATGAGATTCAATCATCACCACATAAGTTTTTTCTTCTGGATTTGCATAATTCTGTGATTAATGCCAAAGAACGCACAGAGGGTTCGTGAGAAGAAAAGAGACGAGAAGTTATCATAATGTTCAAATGTAAAGAAAGAGGCTATTTCAAAAGTCCCACATCGGTAATGTAAAGAATGCTGGTCATTAGCTCGGTACTATAAAAACGAAGCCGAGTCTTCAATTCTAATCATACCTTTCTCGGCCTTTTGGCTAAGATCAAGTGTAGTATCTGTTTTTATCAGTTTAATATCTGATATGTGGGCCATTGGCCTACACGATATTAACTCTATTTTTTAAGGGGAAAAGCCCACTAAGATAGCTTGCTATTTGGGCTTTCGTGAGTCGCTCATGCGTTGCACTACTGCACCGACTTGGCTCACCCCGCCAAATCAATAGTTCAACGGTTTATGTTTAACCAATCGATAACATATAATATTGGTAAATTTATCTAATGTTTGATCAAATCGATACCACATATTCATCAGCAATGGATAACATATTCGGGTCTTCCAAGACAATTGGCTACCTACACATCCTCCCAAGGCTGCTACGAATAGGGATCTCTCAAACAATCTACTTGTTCAAGACCTCCTTATTCAACGTGGCTGACATCTATATTGGGATACTACAGCTTTAGAAACACATTTACAACCTGATGATATATTGATGGCCAAAAGTCTGTATCTAGGAAGACATATGAAACCAGATCATATCCGCTGGAACTACACCAGAAATGGTAACTACACGGTCAAATCGGGCTATTGGTTTTTAAGATACAACCCGACTTTTCTTGCCACAGCTCCGACAATACCTTATAGGGATCCTCTACTCAAAAAACAGCTCTGGAAACAAAACATCATGCCTAAAATAAAGCATTTCCTTTGGAAGTTACTATCTAGAGCCATTGCAACAACTACCCGACTTCGGAGTAGAGGAATAGTACTAGACGAAACCTGCCCTCGCTGTGGCCTTCAACCGGAGACAATACATCACCTATTTTTTACCTGCCCTGTTTCCACCATCATTTGGAGATTATCCAAAACTCCTTTTACTTTTCTTACTACTTCCTCCCTCGATACAGAAGTCATCTTTAAACACTTGCTTGATATTCAAGCTCGAATGGACATTAACGATGAGGTCAAATTATTACCCTTCTGGATCATTTGGCGAATTTGGAAATCCCGTAACGCACTAATTTTTCAGAACAAACGCATCAGACATATAAAAGATGTATACAAGGCGCAATCAGACATGGCGGAATGGTTGAAAGTCTCAACAACAAATTCTACCGCTGATCCTCCTCCTGTAGCCTCCTCTTATTGGTGTCGCCCACCACAAGGCTTCCTAAAATGCAACTACGATGCAGCTTATACGCATCAAACTCACCAGGCCAGAGCGGGATGGATTATACGTGACTCTATGGGATGATGCAAATATTGGGGATCCTCTACAATTGGTTACACCAATTCAAGCTTGGAGGCAGAAGCCAAAGCTTTACTTGTATCTTTACAGAATTCTTGGTTCATGGGATACGATCGACTTTTACTCGAGGGGGACTGCAAACTATTGGTGGATTTCAATTCTGACGAACGAGAATGATATCAATATTGATAATCTTTTGGTCGATATTAAGCATTGGCTGTCTAAATTTAAATATGTTTATATGACTCATGTTAATCGTCTGTGTAATGAGGTTGCCCATGTTTTAGCATCTCCTTTGTTTTCAAACAATGTATTTGACTCGGGCACATACCTTCATAATTCAAGCCCGATCAACAACCTATTGTATGCAGACTTTCTAAAATCAATATAAGTCAATATGATTTCGACAAAAAAAAAAATCTAATGTTTGAAATAAATTACTTTGATTCAAATAATTCACTCATATCCAGGATGTAAAGAATTCGGATCGGATACGCTTGGGTAACCCGGCCCGGAATCGAAAGTCACCTTCCTAATTTGAACACGATGCATTTTGGTTTATATACATAAAAATCTGACTATCCCGGTTTACACATCAATCGGATTTCTGAACCGTATAAACCATAAAAACCGCTCTATTCCAATTTTTCTCATCCGTTCACCATCATCCCCCTCTCCGGACAAAAACCAAAAGCTAATCTTCTTCAATCTTTTTCTTCATCTCTTTCATCCCCTTGTAAAATCAGAGTGAGTGCCAAAATTCAAAAATCACCAAGAGCACAAACTCTAATGGCGTCTCTCTCTCCATGGCTTCCGTTAACCTCAGGTTCTCTCCTCTACGCGCTTCTCCAAGTGTTTATATAGCTAAGATACACTCTGTAGTATCACTTGATGCTACTTAATCTTATGGTAAATTTACGAATCTCTAGAAAAGTGTTTGATGTAAATATGTCGATAAACGAATACGTCCACAAGAACCATAAGAAGGATTTGCGAGACTAAATTAAGGATTTGACTCACACAATGTGTTTGACAAAAAAAAACCTTCAAAAATCATCTAACAACCTTTAGCCTTGAAGATTAATGCTAAGGAGGTTGTTGATTTGTCCATTAAATATAGCTGAAAATTCACCAGAACCATAGCTCTGCTACCACTTGTGTTGATAATCCGAGACGAAACAGAGTTTAATTAAAGACCAATTGATCTGAAAGTCATATCAATCTCCCTTTCTAAAACAGAAGAAAATACAAGAAGAGGAAGAAAGAAAAGAATTTCATATCTTCACCGATCTAATAGCAGAAACCTCTATTTAGTTTAGAGTCTTGCTATACACGTCATCGTTCCATAATTTTTTTAACATGAATGTGTATAAAACCGTTGAGATAATCTGAACTTGATCAAAATCAATAACAAGATTTCTTTTTTCTGTCTAAGGTTTAGACGAATCCAAATTATATATAGCTTTTGGAGCGAAAGCAGAGAGCTAGCATCAAAGCGGTGAAGAAAATAGCCCTGAGGTTGAAACTTTCGACAAGTGCTAGAGAAGATGAAAGAAGAAGCCAATATGGAGTTCGAAGATCACTTGGTAACCGAGAAGGAATTGATGAAGCTATGCGGTGGCGCAAGAACTCGGTGATGTGTTAAAGATTTTGGTTTCTGAAGATGATGCTAATGATGATTATTAATGTTTCAACCAAACTGATTTATTAGATAACATGCCAAGATGTTTTTTTTTTTATTAATGATGATCATGCTATGTGACAGATCTAAGCTGGTATTGAAGCCAAGATGTTTTTTTTTTTTTTTTTTGCAGCCAAGTATCTGCAAGAAAACTGAGTAACAAGATTAGACGTGAATCAGATAAGAGAACAAATTATTCAGCAAAAGATAATTGATCTTTTCTCCTTTCATACTTAGAAACAGTTGCAAAAATAAACTGAAATAATGACCAGAGAATCATCAAAATGTAAACTAGATTTACTGTATTCACTTTTCATTCTTTGATGATTCTCTGGTCATCATTTCATGAATCATCAAAATATAATATTTGAATACCAATAACTTTATTTGTTCATGTGTTTTTATTAAAAGAATCATATCAAAATTCGTAATTAGCATATTATATATTAATACTTTAAACATTATCAATATCAAGTTCTAAACTGGAACTTTTCACATTTTGATGATTCTGAAGTGATGACCAGAGAATTATCAAAATAATATCGAATACAGTAAATTTAGTTTACATTTTGTATTCAATCCTAACGAATCCTACAACTTATGAATCAGTCTAATTCTGCGAAATTGAAGTAAGAGAGACGTAGAAGCAAAAGGGGAAATAAGAAATTTGACCTCATCCTCAAATTCGTCTTCCGCTGAGAGACCAATGAGTCGAGGAGTCTTCTTCACTCGGAGATTTAGCTTTTCGGCGTCGTTTATGATTCAGAAATTACACATTCGAAGAGATTTCCACCCAAAATCTTACATTTAACAAAATCTTTTGATTGTTCGTAAGGAAACCCAGATTTCGCAATATGAACTCCATATGATAAGATCCTTCTCTGTGCACAGATTCAATCATCACCACATCAAAGTTTCTTCTTCTGGATTTGCATAATTCCAAGATTAATGCCAAAGAACGCACAGAGGGTTCGTTAGAAGAGAAGAGACAAAAAGTTATCATATTGTTCAAATGTTAAAAAGAAAAGAAGTTATTTCCAAAGTCCCACATCGGTAATCTAAAGAAGGTTAGTCATAAGCTCGGTACTATAAAAACAAAGCCGAGTCTTACTTGCAATTCATACCTTTCTCGGCCTTTTGGCTAAGATCAAATGTAGTATCTGTTCTTATCAGTTTAATATCTGATATGTGAACCATTGGCCCACACGATATTAACTCAATTTTTTAAGAATGATATGTGGACTATCTGGACTTTCGCGAGTCGCCCATGCGTTGCACTATTGCACTGGCCTGGCTCAACCCGCCAAATCAAATAGTTCAACAGTTTACGCAAACCAATCGATATGAATTGTTGTGGTTCGATAACAAATAAACTTTTATCTATAAACTGTCCTGTTTGAATAGTTTGATGCAGAAAAGAACCAAATATGCAAGAATTCGGATCGGATACGGTTGGGTAACCCGGCCCAAATCGAAAGTAATTTTAACACGATGCATTTTGGTTTATATACTTGCAAATAAAATAAAAACTGCCTATCCCGGTTTACACATCAATCGGATTAAACCGGAAAATCGATATTCCAATTTTCCTCATCCGTTCACTATCTCATCCCTCTCTCAGGGCAAAAACCAAAAGCTTATCTTCTCCAATCTTTTCTTCATCTCTTTCCTCCCCTTGTAAAATCAGAGTGAGTGCCAAAATTCAAAAATCGCCGAGAGCACAAACTCTAATGGCGTCTCTCTCCATGGCTTCCGTTAACCTTAGGTTCTCTCCTCTACGCTCTTCTCCAAGTGTTTCCCTTCGCGTCTCCGTACAATTCGCTCGATTGAACAAGGCGTGTGACTCGTCGAGCCTTAGCTCAACTCACTCCATTTCCGGGCTTCGCGCTGTTTTCCCCCAGAAGATTTCCTCAGTTGTTGTTTCTACGAATTCTCAGAGGCTTCAGTCTCTTACCGTTTTCGCTCATAAGGGCTACAAGATGAAGACCCACAAGGTCCTTTCCTCTTCTCCCTCTCTCTCTCTCTCTCTCCCTCTGCATTTCTGAAAATTTCCCTTTCTGGTATAATTTTCTTGAGTAGTACAATTTGGAAAATTTAGTGGCGGAAATTGGAATCAGTCATTGTTAAATAGCTTCGAAAGTTTAGATTCTACTTGCATTCACTTGTGTGTTCTTGGGTGAAGAAGCATTTGATAATTAGCTTCAATGTAAAACACTTAAGACTATATATCTGATGAAACTTGGGGAATCCTGAAACTGTGAACTTCATTTTACTCTGATTGTTTTGGCCAAAAACAGTTCTCTTTTGTTGATTTCTGTTTAGTCTTTGTTGAATGAGAAGACATTTTGTATTTTGTTGACAGGCTTCAGCGAAGCGGTTCAGGGTCACAGGTAAAGGGAAGATAGTGAGGAGACGATCAGGAAAGCAGCACTTGTTAGCTAAGAAGAACAACAAGAGGAAACTGCGTCTTTCCAAAATGGTTTGTTTTCGTTTTTCAAACAATGATCTATTTGCTTCTTTTCTGTTTCTGTCTTTGCAAATTCCAATCTTTCATCGTGTCCCGGTGTCCTGAAGGGTTTATATAGTTTTTGTGTGTGTGTGTCTGTCTGAAATGCATTCATCTCTTTCAAGCTTTAACGATTAGCTGTGAGCCTGTGAGTGACTTTAGTTGAATGTTTCAGCACGAGGAGTGAATCATTAGAAAAATAATGAGCTCTTTGCAAGAAATGATGATAGGGAAGACGCAATAACTTGTATTTATTCAATCTAGCTGATGTCTTCATAGTTAATGCATGGTTTCGTTTTTCAAAACCGTTTCTTTCATTGTGCATTCGACTCCTTAACATCTCGCTGAGTCTGTTAAAATGGGGACAAAAGCTACTTTGCCTGCGCGATTTGGAAACCATGACACTGAAATTCACTGCATTGGCTTCCATTAGAAATGTGATTTAGGGAGAAATCTATCATTTTCAACCAGTAGAAACAAAAAGACAAAAGCTTATGGCATCAGTCTCATGATCACAAGTTCAAGTTATCGTTTTTAACAATGATCATGTGCTTCCTTTTCTGTTTCTGTGTTTGCAAATTACAATCTTTCTTCGTGCCCTGAAGGGTTTATATAGTTTGTGTGTGTGTGTGTGTGTGTGTGTGTGTGTGTATGTGTGTGTATGTGTGTGTAAATGCATTCATATCTTTCAAGCTTTAACGATTAGCTGTGAGCCTGTGAGTGACTTTAGTTGAATGTTTCAGCAAGAGGAGTTAATCATTAGAAAAATAGTGAGCTCTTAGCAAAGAATGATGATAGGGAAGACGCAAAAACTTGTACTTGTTCAATCTAGTTATGAGTTCTAAAACTTGTCTGCTAATGTCTTTCATAGTTAACGCATGGTTTCGTTTTTCAAAACCGTTTCTTTCATTGTGCATTGGACTCCTTTACATCTCGCTGAATCTCTTTATATGGGGACTAAAGCTTCTGGCTTGCAATATGGAATTTATGACATTGAAACTCACTGCATTGGTTTTCTATAAGAAATGTGATTTAGGGAGATATCTGTTATCTTCAACCAGTAGAAACAAGGAAGACAAAAAAACTTATGGCATCAGACTCATGATCACAAGTTCAAGTTATCACTTGTTTTTGGCTCTGTTCTATTCCCTCTTCTCTCTTACATGTCTGACTTTATGTTCTGTCTTCTGTAACGCAGCACGAAGTGAGCCGGAGCGACTATGACAATGTGATCGGCGCTCTTCCTTATCTGAAAGTCAACCGAAAGGCGACTTAAGTTAAAACAGAGCCTGCATGATCCATTGATCCTCTCTTCTTACATGTATTTCTCATTTTGTAATAATCTGTGTTTGTGATAATCTGATCTATTGAGTTGATTTTGTTTTCTTTTTGTGTCTTCCTTATTGTTCTTCTCTCGCATGACAAATTATTATAGGTGTAACAAATGATATATAGCTCAGCAAGGAGTTTTGGTCATGGACAATGATTAGGTTGAAAATCAGAGACAAACAAAAAAATATCTTAGGAGACTTCAAATATTCCATTATTTATCATTTTTTAATTTTTTTTTAGAGTATCCTTAAGTTAACAATAATAGAGACAAATACATTTAGCCGGTCCAGGAACATCAGGATCGTCAAAACATTTTGCAACGCCATTGTAACCTGTGTAGCAGCTTAAACGGCAATCAACAAGATCACATGAAACGGCTTCGTCAATCGTCCTTGCACACATAGCTACATCAGCTCTTACATCCATTAATAAAGCTACAAAAATAAAACATTAATAAACAAACTATTTTTTTTTTGTACCAACGCAACAAACTAAATAGCGTTTTAGTCTTTTACTTTGTGCTAAACTGCTAATCATCTATATGTATACACAGCATAAACAGAAATAATGATCAAAAATGACCGACAATGAAAAAAAAATGTAAAATCTAGATTTTTGTATAAAATAGATTATTTAATGATTTTTTTTTTATAAATATAGCTCTACTTGTAGCTGTTTTCCATTGCAAAGTAATCACAAACTAAATACAATCTAATTTATTATAATCTACTAGGAGAGTATCCGCGCATACGCGCAGATTTTTAGTTTTGTAAAAAATTGATGTTAAACAGATTTTATATTTTATATTTTATATTTTTATTAACTCGAATAATTGATTTATAATTCTAATTTATAGAGCTGCATTAAACATTGTATAAATAAATATATTAGGAATTTGATATCTTAATAATTTAAAAATTATTAATAAATCAAGTTTGAATACAATAAATTATAAAATAATTATTAGTTTAAAAAGAAATTATTTAAAAGTTTATTATAATATTGTATAAACTTTTCTTCTAACTTTTTAAAGTTTAAAATATCAAATAATTGTTATTTTTATATTTGTATAATTATTTTCTATAATAATAACTTATGATATTAAAAAGAAATACAAAAATACTCTTAAATAAGAAACATAAATTGTTTTAATGATTTTAAAAACTACCAACAAATATATATTCAATCATTTTTATTTGGATATTAATTATATAATGTTGTTAAAATATATTATCTAATACTTCATATTTTTCATATTCTTCATATTCTTTTAGTATTATGATTAATAATATATTAATTTATGCATTAACTATATTTTATATAATTTTATCATTATATTTTAAAAAATGACACATGTCATCTTCACATTAAAGCAAAGTGATGAGGTGGCACTCGATTGAAGAGAGTTGTCCATCTTTTATAGTATAGATATGGTCAACTTTCTTCATTTGAGTGCCACCTCATCATTTTAGTTTAATTTTTATGATACAAATTATATAAAATACAGTTAATGCATAAATTAATGTATTATTAATCATAATACTAAAAGAATATGAAGAATATGAAATATTAGATAATATATTTTAACAGCATTATATACTTAATATCCAAAAATAATTATTGAATATATATATTTTTTGGTAATTTTTAATATCATTAAAAAAATTTATGTTTCTTATTTAAGAGTGTTTTCTTATTTCTTATTAATATCATAAGAGTTATTATTATAAAAACAATTATAAAAATATATAAATAACAACTATTTGATATTTTGAACTTAAAAAAGGTAGATGAAAAATATATACAATATTGTAATAAAGTTTTAAAAATTTTCTTTATAAACTAATAATTATTTAATAATTTATTTTATTCAAACTTGACCTATTAATAATTTTTAAATTATTAAGATATCAGAGTCCTAATATATTTATTGATAAAATGTTTAATGCAGCTATATAAATTAGAATTATAAATCAATTATTTAAGCTAATAATAAAATAATATATACTATATAAAATATAAAATCTGTTTAACATCAATTTTTAAAAAAAATTAAAAACCTGCGCGTATACGAGAATACCCTCCTAATTGAAAGTAAATTACAAATTAACGATATACTAATAACATACTAACGATAGATACAGCTCTAATTGTGGCTGTTTTCAATTGCTAACTAGATACAAAGTAATTCATTATATAATTAAAAGTAAATTACAAATTAATGATAGACTATATAATTAAAAGCAAATTGCAAACTAATAATATACTAACGATAGAAAAGCAATTACTAAATCCATTTTTCAATTTTCTTTATGAACAATCTCTTTTTCACATTAAAATTGGTAAAATACTATTTAAACAAATGATTCGCAGAAAAATATGATAAGGTTTTCAAGTTTTTGAAAATGGAAACTATGAAATTACCTGAACACAAGCGTGACTACAAAGAAATAAGAACATGATAACTTGGCCATGATCAATATAGTACAACAAATTAAGAAAAATTTATATTTCTTGTTTCAAAATAAGTGTCATTTTGATATTTTTCACACAAATTAAGAAAAACATTAAAAGTTTTTTTTTATCCTTTGGTTACACACAAATAACATTCTCTTTCTAATTAATACATAAATATAACAACTAACAAGATTAAAACATGATTTTTGTTTAAAAAATTGCATTGGAAATACAAAACGATTCTCTTTGTGAAACAAAAATAAAACTCTAAAACGACACTTATTTTGAAACGGAGGGAGTAGATGTTTTGTGAAATAAAAATGATATGTAAGCTGTTTTCTTTGTATATATACAAATAGTCAAATATATTTTTAGCGTCGCCTAAGCTCAGGTATGAATTTGAAGGGGGTTTTTTGTGATAAATTTCAAGTTTTTAGAAATGGAAAATATGAAATTACCTGAAAACACAAGCATGACTACACAGAAATAAGAACATGATAACTTGGCCATGATCAGTAGTACAACAAAAACAAAGTAATCGATGTTTTGTAATGTAAAGGTGATATGTAAGCTATGTTTTTTATTTTATTTTTCGAGCAACATTTTATAAGCTATGTTCTATGTTATCTTAACATAAATGAGAGAATCATATATATATATGTATATATATATATAATAAGGATTTCATTCTCTCCCTATTGGTCCATTTGACACTTTTTAAGGTACAAAAATATTGTATCTGTATTATCACTGATCACTTAATTATGTGTTATTGGTTAGTGATTTTAGAATCATAGATTTCATTTTAAAGTAGATTTTAATAAATTTAAAAGGATTTATATATTATAAATATAAAGATTCAAATCCAAAGTTAAATTAATCTATAATTTTATAAAATCAACATGTTTTTTTTTTGTTTTTAAATCAAAAACCTGTGCGTATACGAGGATACTCTCTTAATTGAAAGTAAATTACAAATTAACGATATACTAATAACATACTAACGATAGATTTAAAATCAACATGTTATATTTAAATATCAATAGATTTTATAAAAATTATATGAATTATTAAATCAACTAAATACATAAACTAATAATACCTCCTTTAATTACATTTAATGATATTAGGCTTGTTATGAAAACGTAAACGTTGCTCATACATTTTTTTTTCTTTTTTGAAAAGTCATTGCTCTAAATCTAAAGGCATGATCAACAACTGTTGTAACACATAGTTGTAAAAGTACTTTATAGTAAATGTATAGCAAATCCGACTTTATTCTAAAATTTTAAGGTACAGTATTCAGTAATTCCAATGTTAAGAAAAGACAATCTCGAAGGTAAAAAAAGTCTAATTCCAATGTTAAGAAAAGACAATCTCGAAGGTTAAAAAAGACCATACGTGACGACAAAAGCAGACCAAATCCAAAGAGGGAGAAAGAGAGACCACCATTCGATAGAGGCCACCTCCGAATCACTTGACACGTGGCAAATCCTCTATCTATAGCCGTCATTTTAAAAGCAAAACGCGGGACCCACCTTCCGATATATCCACAACACACCCGCGTGTCCGCCAACCAATCACCCAAGTATTCAAAATGATATAAAGGAAATGACAAAAATAGCCTCCTAAGTAAAGACAATACGACGGGCCAATTTGGGGATTTTCTAGAAACTCGACTTTCTTTTTTTAAGTCTGCCAAAAAACTGAGAGAGCGCGTGTCTCTTCAATCGCGTCCTTTTCGCGTTTTTAGATCTTCAAAATCAAATTCGTTACTCTTGTTTATTCCCCAGGGTTTATTGATTCCCAGCTAATTCCTGAGCTTCGTGATCTTCAGTTTCTGGTTTTTGTGATTGGATCTTCGTTTTTGGATGGTGGAAATGATGAAATCGAGGAATCTGAGACCGGAGCCTGAACCGGTTTCGAAGTTTCCGGTGAAGCTAGAGATCGTCGAGGATTTTCTTGAAGAAGAACACGGTCCTCTCAACAAGCGATCTAGGGTTTGTTCCTTAGATAGCTGATTTTGATACGAAATCATTTTGCGTAGTTTCTAAGCAGACACAATTTATATATCTCCTTTAAGATTCCTATAATCAATTTTTGATTCGCCATTATTGCGTTTGAGTTTTGTCATAATTTGATTGCTAAATATTTGATTTTTTCCCCAATTTGGAACGAAATAGCTTTGGAGCAATGGAACAAGCGTCTCTCTTATGCCACAGACCAAGTTTAACCTCCTTGATGAGCCAAGTCCTTTGGGACTGAGCCTAAGAAAGAGCCCATCTTTGCAAGATCTGATTCAGATGAGACTCTCTCAAAGTGTTGCGGTTGGGTCTGGTGTTAAGAAAGAAAGCATATGTAATGCTTCTTCTGCTGTAGGAACCGTTGAGAAGCTGAAAGCTTCCAACTTTCCCGCTACGGTTCTGAGGATTGGGCAATGGGAGGTGAGTTCTTTAAACAAAACTGTTGTCTTTCTTCGATTTTTATTGAGGTTTCATGGTGTGTTTGGAATCTAAGTTTTGCCTTGTTTGTTAGTATAAATCGAGGTATGAAGGTGATCTGGTGGCGAAATGCTACTTTGCGAAACACAAACTTGTATGGGAAGTGTTGGAACAAGGTCTTAAGAGCAAGATCGAGATTCAGTGGTCAGATATTATGGCTTTGAAGGCTAATTGTCCGGAAGATGAACCTGGAACGTTAACCATCGTGGTATAAAAAATAAAACTCACGCTTGTAATCATTTCATTCGTATAGATCATGGTTTTGATTTACATTATCTTTGTTTGTTTCAGCTGGCTAGGAGACCGTTATTTTTCAGGGAAACGAATCCGCAGCCTCGAAAGCATACTTTGTGGCAGGCGACATCGGATTTTACTGATGGTCAAGCCGTCGTGAACAGGTAAGAAGAACATGTCTTTGTGTCCTAATCCACATATGTAATTTGAATATGTCACGGATCTAACCCACAATGGTTTTCATGGTAGGCAACATTTTCTGCAGTGCGCACCAGGGATATTGAACAAACATATCGAGAAGCTTCTCCAATGTGATCATCGTCTGTTCTGTCTAAGCAGACAGCCAGAGATGAGTTTGGACTCACTCTTGTTTGATACACGACAGTCTATATTCGAGGATCCTTCAGTGTCTGGATCTCATAACGTGGCTTCTCCTGTTGGGCCTCAGTCATCGTCAGAACACATGTCTCTGTCTCATGACGCATTGTCGCCTAGCTCAGGTATTGTGTGTGTTTCTACAACTTAGATTCATTGCCCTTTTCTTGATACGACTCAAACTAAGATTATGGAGATTCTTTCGTCTTTGCTTTAGTGATGGATGCTCGTGCAATAGAAGGAGTTGGTGCTTCCGTTGATTCGAGCAATACAACAACAGATTGTAATCAGATACAAGTTCCTGGGCTAAGCCAATCTATCTCTATGAATGATTTTCTTGCACTTTTGTCAGATCAAGCTAATCTTGGGAACAACCCTGAATTCGAAGAAATGAAGCAGCTGCTGCTAAGTGACACTCAAGCCGAGACATCGGATGAGAAGTCTGTAATGTCGAAGGTGAACTCTTTCTGCAACCTCTTGCAATCCACTGCAAACGATGTGAAAGAGATTGGGATCGATAACAAGAGACAAAGACCCGAAGGTAACAGAGTTCTTGATCACCATGCTTCAAGCAGCAGCAAGCCACAACAAGGAGGCATGTCAAGGAAAGACTCGTTCAGTGATTTGTTTATACACCTTCCTCGGATCACATCCCTACCAAAGTTCTTGTTCAACATTTCGGAAGAAGACGGTGATGCCCATAGTTAAAACGATATATATGTCTAGGAAGCTTGTGAACAAGTTAGCTGTAAATTAAATGATCTCTCTTGTGTGCTCTTGTTTGTAAGTGTTGAAACCTTTAAAGACCCCAACACAAGGATTTTGATGAACCTTTGTGTTTGATGATGAGTCCTTGTTTGTTGTGGCGGTTATCTAAAGCCATTCTGTTTTGAAACGTTACTTAAAAGTTGCACTTGTTCACTTGTTCTTGACTACTAGAATCCAAAATAGACCATCTATCTCAATTCGTCATACAAGAAGCTTTCACAAATAGTCGAAAACGTTCTTGGGCGGATCGAACCAGAGACACTGAGGAGGACAAAGGTATGACGAGCTGTGCCATTCCTTGCGCGTATTGAACCTGTTTTCATCAAAGGAGTAGGTCACGCAACGCTTGCGATTGTTACCAAACCTAGAGAAGCATACTCTGTTCCTCAGCAATGGGAGATCACTTCTGAGCTCGACGTTACACAAACTCACAAAGATTGTCAAGCCATCAAGTGCATTACTGCTATTCATCTCCTCCCACTCAAAATCGGTGACTAGCTTATAAACCATTGGCTTCTTGTTCCCGCAAGTAAACATGAGAAAGAGCTCTCCTTTCTTCTCTGCCAAGAAGACTAAACTGTCACCAAGATGCAGTTATCTGACGTAGGAGGACATGAGAATCCAATCGCAAGAATATGCAGATCAAGCCTAGGCAAGCTTATGAGCTCTTTAGTGAACGGGTTAAAGAAGAAGACCTCGTTCGAGATAAACCTACGCATAAGCAACCATCCCTCTCAACACACGGTGGAGTTAGCCAACTCTGGCAGATCCAACGCATACGACTTGCAGTTTGATGGATCGTGGAGTTTAATCAAGCTGCCGCGATCAGGCAAAACCAAAAGCCATGGATGTTTCTCCGATACACGAACAGTTGATGCCGCTTCGAGCCATGTCTTGCAAGCAGCTGATGCACGGATGTTGTCTTTGACCACGAGAAGAGACATTATTTCTTCCAGGAGACTTAATGGAAGATCAGAGAAACTCGGGCTTGATGCCTTTTTGCTACGATTTTGGGATCTACAAATTGAACTTCAAAATTAAGCAAAGTTGTGTCATTTAACTTGAAGAACGACGCTTTAAGAACCCTAAATGTTCCCTGTTACACAAACTATCGATGTCACAGAGAAACTAAACTAAGGTCTGAAGTTCAGCTCAGATTCAAAACCAGTTTGCACCCAAAAAGATCAATACTTTGTCAAATCCATAATTTCTAAAATTAACTCCGAGAATAACAAACCGTTTACATGGGACGATGGTCGGAGACGGAGAAGTTGACGCCGCGATCGTAGACGGCGAAGGTGTTGCCATGTTGCGCGAAGACGAAGCCGACCCCATGGCCGGAGACGACGGTGGTCTTTGACGGAGCAATGGTCGAAATGGTGAACAGAGAGATTAAAGAGGCTTTTTAATTTTTGTTGGGCCGTAAATAAAATGATAGGCCCAGCTCTCAGCCCATTTATTTTAGTTACAGATTTACTTCTCCGAGCTTTGCATGTGGCGCGCTTAGGGTTTCTTCTCCTTCCACAAGCGGATTAGGTTTAGCCGTTTAGGGTGTTCTCTCTCGATCACTGTAACAACCTCAACAATGGCGGAACAGGTTTGTAATATCTCTCTCTCGTTTTAAAAAAAATCATTTCTGTTTATTAAGCTTCTTGAATTCTTCGATCTCTGTGATTTCGAGTATAATAGTTTTTTTTTTGTTTCTTTCTCCTCTGTGCTCCGATTTAATGTTGAATTCATGTGTTACAGACGGAGAAGGCGTTTCTGAAGCAACCAAAGGTCTTCTTATGGTAAAAACTTAACGAAAAAACTCTTTTTGTTTCTACAATTTTAGAGTGTATTTCTCTTACGAGATCATCGTTATTATTATTGTTGTTTCAGCTCGAAGAAATCTGGTAAAGGCAAAAGGCCTGGAAAGGGAGGTAATCGTTTCTGGAAGAACATTGGTCTTGGTTTCAAGACTCCCAGAGAAGCTACTGAAGGTACATTACATTTTCTTGAATTTTCGATTTGTGATGTTATATGATTGATGTGTTTAAGCATATGCTTTCTCTTTTAGTTTTGTGTTGTTGAACCCTAAGAGGATTGTTTGTTGTTGAGTAAACCTCAATTTAGATTTAAGGCCCTGTTTTTGACAATTTGTTTACTGAAATTTGATACATTTTCGAAGTTTCTGAGTTGTTTCTTGTTTGTATTAATTGTGCAGGTGCATACATTGACAAGAAATGTCCCTTCACTGGCACGGTTTCCATCAGAGGCCGTATCTTGGCAGGAACTTGTCACAGTGCGAAAATGCAGAGGACGATCATTGTTCGGAGGAACTATCTTCATTTTGTTAAGAAGTATCAAAGGTGAACTAAAGATAGTTACTTACTTTTGTGTTTTTGAATTTCCTTCTGCTACGTTCATCTTTGAGACTCTCCGTCTAATGTTTAGTCTTTAAACATTACAGGTACGAGAAAAGGCATTCGAACATCCCCGCTCATGTCTCGCCGTGTTTCCGTGTCAAGGAAGGTGATCACGTGATCATCGGGCAATGCAGGTGAGAGGACATTAACATCTCTTTTCTTGAGTTCATTAGATTCTCTGTGATCAGTTCATCTACAAGATGAAATCTGTGTGCTAATTAGATATCATACGTTTTCAGACCGTTGTCGAAGACAGTGAGGTTTAATGTCCTAAAGGTCATTCCAGCTGGAAGCTCTGCTTTCGGGAAAAAAGCATTCACTGGTGCGTAGAGAGAGTTCTTAAAGGTGGGATCAAGGATTTTGACTTGTTTCTTTGTGTCTTTTACTCTCATATGTTATTATCCTCTAGAGAAACCCTCTGTTTTCATTTGTGTTAGCTGCAACATGATGTTTCAAAACTTCTTCATCTCTTACTAAAGTCATCACGCAAGAATGATTCTCTCTTTGCTGGTTCTTTTGATATTTGAATAGCCTCTTCTTGAATTGCTAAGATGTGTAATCTTTTTATGTTTCTCGTTTAGAAACTATAGTTTGCGTGTGAATCGTGATTCATTATCAGCGAATCTGTTCTTCGTTCACTCGATCAAAAGACTCTAGACAAATAAGGAAATTTTCTGATCAATTTCCTAATTTGGGATCAAGCAAGTTCTGTAGATTGCCACTACAGTATGTATAACCGGTTGTGCAACTTGTATGATTAAGCCGGTTAAGCCATTTCGAGCTAAGATGTATCACTACTACTACACATCTTCTGATACATTTTTGTCGTTTAGAAACTATATCTTGGGTGATTCAGTATCAGTGAATCTTTTCTTCAATCACTCGATCAAAAGATTCAACATAAATAAGGAAATTTTCTGATTAATTTCCTAATCTAGGATCAAGTTCTGTAGATTTCCACTACAGTATGTATAACCGGTTCTGCAACTTGTATGATTAAGCCGGTTAAGCAATTTCGAGTTAAGATGTATCATTACTACATATGTGATTCAATGGTTATGAGTCTAAAAGAATATGTGATTCATTTTGGAAAGAAAAAAGTTGGCTACAAAATCACAGAGAGGTTACTACAACACTAGTGCCCTTCTGTTACTAAGTTCTTGTTTCTATATATGAAGTCTCTCTCCTGTACAACAGCACAAATGACATACAAACATAAACTAATCCTATTCTCATCCCCCAAAAAAAACAAGCATGATGCAATGACTTTGCATCTGTTATTCAATACTGCCTAGGACCTACCTGCTGAACTCAAAAGCTTCTTTCAATGATATGCCCAAATTTTGTCTTAAAAGCCTCTTCTGCAAGATTTGGTGTCAGAATCTTAAGTGTGTTGCAGTAGCAGTCTTTCGAGCTGATTCTGGTTCTTCTTCCCATGTCCTTTGAGGTTTTGGTGGATGTTATTTACAGGCCCACCAAGAAAGTTCCCTGAGTCAAAAGAAACTTGCTCCTTCTTCAAATGGCGCAATGCCACATGACTCAGTTGAAGAAGTACTGTGATTTGAGCACTTCCTTCAAATCGAAATCACCTCTCTTTGGTACTGGAGGGAACACGAGATTCGGGTATGATTCTTGGAAACTTTGGAGTAACTGGTTCAAGAATACAAACAAACCATGTCAAGAACACAGAGGAGGCTAGAATTAACACAAAAGTTTCAAACCAGAGAGTTATCGAAAACTTACATCTTCAAGGATCGGTGTGTTGTAAAGCTCAACGAATTTCTCTCTAAGTATTCTGTTCATTGTGTCAACATCACATGCATGGGTCCAGTAGGAGTCATGCACACCTGCACAAAACCAAACATTGAATAAAAGAGATTCCAGATTTTTCTTTTTTGTTGGCAAGCCATTAGTTGAACTAACCTGCAAAGTTTAGGCCAGCTTCTCGACATGCAACAGCAGTCATCATCATGTGAGTGCCGTCCAGCGAGTGCACAAAGTTGGGAGGGAACGCAGTTCTTTGTTTCCTAACATCCACCTGAGAATAAAAAGTCTTTTTAATCCTACAAAGATCATACAGGTGAAAAATCCTGCTCAGTGCTCACGAAAGGAAAGAACAAATAGGCTTTACCGTGTTACCCTCTCGCTGCAGAGCCAAAACCTGAAGAGATGTTCTAATCTGCAACCACAGTAGCCATATTTGTAATCATTATTCGAAATTATCGGCTCACACAAGGATGATTCATAGCTTACATGAAGGAACACTTACCAGATGTCTTTCACTTCTGCAATAGGGTTGAACAACAGGAAGTCCAAGAGGGGTGAGCCATCGCACTGAATGATTATCGGAAGCGATTATCTGTAAGCCAAAAAGGAAACACAGCTCTATTAGATCACTCATTCTCTTAAACATAAATTAGCATAGCTAATAATATGCTACAAGACCACACCTTTGCACAATCACCAAGCCAACTCATAATGGCTCGTGCTGCTTCAAATATCTCTCCAAGGGCTGCTAGTGTCACCTGAGGAGAAATGTTTCGAGTATATAAGATAACACATAACTAGAAACTATAGAAAAAATTATTAGCGTGAGTGCTATAACTCTTCTTACTTTTGCAGAATAGCAAGCAGCAGCAAACAGCATTCTCTCGTCTGTGATAACACCTTTCTCTTCTAATCTTCTTTTTATCTGTTCACGCGCTCCAACATAGGTGACACCATATACTGAGGTCATTACCGTTTGCTTTACTAGCTTCCTGTCGACCTGAGAATAGAATAGAACTTAGCATCACTGGGATGACCTTTTTTATTGTGGCATTATATATATACAGTCAAAAACCAATGACACTCACTTGATTGATAAGGATCTTTGCCAATGCAGCTGTTGGGTTTGACTCAGGATCCTTACTGCTGTCCTTCTTCATTATTTCATGGACTCTATCTCAGCACAAGCGAAGAAGAGAAGAGAGAAAAAGAGGGACAGAGAGGAAAACCATTAGAAACAATGCTTGACATGATTGATGATTCTACCACGAAAAATGAATTGACAGACACTCGATTCAACATTGATATGATACCTCAATGAAATTTCCGAATAGACATCAGCTGGTTTTTCTCCTGCAACTAGATTAACTGCCGCAGCTTCAAACTGAGAGAAGCCAGTTCACATGAAGAGAACTATATGAGATCGCATGACTTCAAATAAGAGAAAAAAACAGCAGATTATAAATGTTCACAAGGGAACCTACACTATCTCTTCCTAAAGCTGCATAATGCTGTAGACCATTGCACGACCCATCCTGCACATACAAATATTGAAAAAACAAGTTCATTAAGAGCTAACAAGTACATAGAAAAGACGAAATCTGGTGAAACCAATTAAAAACTTAATAGAATGGGGAAATATCAAGCGGATCTTATACAGACAGCAAGTGTCAATTAACTAAACTGTGGGTACAAGTTTATGGTGCTTACTTGATGAATAGGCAAGTGGGAGATTACAGAGTAAGGTGAAGGACTTTTCAAGGCTTGTGTCAGAATAACACATGCAGCTAAACACTGAAAAGGATCCTCAGCCTTTAACCACCATCGTTTTCCATGAATAGGGTTTTCCGCTGAATCCATTATATCATCCAAATGGTTTTCCACAAAAGCCAAACGCCCATCGTGTGAAAGCTTTTCAACACCACCTGCATAGAGGTTTGCTAGATGTATTTTCAGCCAGTACAAGCCTGACTTTCCAAGTGCTCTTCCTTCAGCAAACTCCAGGGTTCCACGGCAAAGATCAGAACTCAGATGATTCAGATGAGGATGCATTGGGTATGCACGGCCCCTGAAGTCAAGATTGTGAGGGTAGTAGAATCCTTCCTCGTCTTTCATTTTCCTAGCCACCTGAACTTATAATCTTCAGTCTATATCTTTTGCTAGGTAAGTGAAGACGGAAAAAACTATTGTAGGCAATAATAATGGAGGTTCTTACAGAAAGCTTGAGCTCAACATCACATCTAAGAGAGTGCCTCTCTCTGTTAATCTTGTTCGCCTTTCGAACACTCCATTTCCAGGATTGGATTTCTTCTGGATCCTCAGAGGATGGTTTCTCTGGTATGGGAACCTAAACAGACAAACCAATAAGAGAATACAAACAGCATCAGACACATACCATTAAAAACTATAACTTTGAATATGGGTTGACTCTTGAAATGAAACTCTGAAACGTAAAAGTTCCATAAATCCTATAAGATTTCTCGTTACTTACGTCTTCACGATTAACTAAGCCTGCAATGTTTCCTCCATCAGCCCAGAGCTTTTCCACCACATCAAGTATTTTCCTATTCACCCTCCACTTAGTGTTCCCAAGTGTATCCAATGCCTGTTCAAGTTACGTTTGGGAACAGTTATGTAAAACAATACCGAACAGCAAGTCAGCAACAACAAAACATAAATAAACAAGAGCTAAAATACCTATGTACCTCAAATACTCTATGAGCAGTCTTGGAACTAATATCTCGAAGTGCATCTTGCTGCTTTTTGGATCCATGAGTACGCATGATATAGGAAGGCAAAAACAAGTAACCACCCTTGTCATATCTGACGAAAATGTGACGACATTTCCATACGTTAGAAGAAGAAACATGGCTATAAATAATGTGTGGGATGAGGTTCTCAAAAATAAGGCATGATTCGTATGCAAGGGGATAAAATCTAGAGCTAAACAAGAAAGAGATTATCAAACCATACCCTTTCCATCTCTTTGGTGGTACCAACATCGGAACATAAGGAATTAACATATGCTTAGCCTGCATGAGACAAGAACAGTGAAAGATCATCCAATAGCTCATGAATGACATATCTTTTAATCAGAAAAGAGACATCTTTAACTCACAGATTTATCCAGTCCTGCAAGGAGGAGCGAGTCACATTCAATAACTCCATATCTTCTCACTAACTTTGACCTACAAAGTCCAAATTTCCAGAGATATGTAAAATTACCACCAAAAGCATATATCCCAGTTGAGAAAAAACAAATTTCTTGCAATAGGCAGTATTATTAGTAAGACGCCTGAGTAGAAAGACAAAGGAAGAGAAGTTACAAGTGATTAAGAGCAATTCATGGACTCTTTCTTACCGTGGATATTTGGTCACAGTTTTAAACTTGTGTCTGAATGCAGGTCGAAACTCCGGTATAGAGTCTCCTGACTGGGTCAAGGGAGGTTGCACATAAGCTGTTTCGATCAATAGTTCTAGCAGACGGCTTCCAAGCTGAAAATTGATATCATTCCAACAACAAAGATGAGTTTTTTTTGTAGAAATATTATCAATTCCACTCA